ACATACATACATCTAATAGCTAAAGCGTTCAGCTACCCATCTGAACCCCATCTTATCGGACGGAGACACCTCCTCCCAAACCTAGCCTCCGCAGGCACTTGGAGGCACTTTACACATATACCTAGCCCCCCTAACCAAAACTTCTGGATCCGCCCCTGGATAGTGAATCATGCACGATACAATCGCACAGAGATGGATGTGGTTATGAAACCAAAGAGTAAATACATTACGATTATCAGAGATCCAGCAACTCAGCTAGAATCCGTCTTTGCATATTTTGAGCTTTTCAAACCCTTACGTTTAAGGAGTATAAAAAATCCATACCGTACATTTATATCGCGACCACAATATTATCTTGATAAGAATCCTCATTTTAGATTCAGAAACTTATTAAGAAATCCACTTCTTTATGATCTCGGACTCGAACGAGAACAGCAACTAGATGTGTCAATAGTAAACCGTACGATAAGCGAGCTCGCGAAAGAGTTTGATCTTGTAATGTTGCAAGAATATTTCAACGAATCCTTATTGCTGTTAAAGAAACGTTTGTGTTGGGAATGGGATGATATTATCTACCTAACTAAAGGTGAAAGAATTAAGACATTAAGGTACGCCGTCACAGATGATATCAGAAAGAAAACGAGAAAATGGTGTGCATCAGATGTTATGTTATACGACTATTTCAATGCCACATTTTGGGAAAAGGTGAAGAATTACGGACCAGAATTTGAAACGGATTTAAAGATTTTAAAATCGAAATTGAATGAAACCAAGTATAGATGTACACTGCCTAATAAAAAGCCAAGTATAGTATTTAGAGCTTACCAACCTATAATAAAACCGCATGCGGATAAGTTATATAAATACATAATATATGCAGATGACCAATTTACACAACTAATTCGAACCACTCAGGCCGGGAGGCTGATGAAAAGCAATGGAATAAATATTAGCTTTACAGATTAAAATGGACACACACACTGCGTTGACGATGGTTCGACCATCCACATCGTTGTGGGCTCTTAACTTAAGTCATTGCCAAAATTCTTTACAACCTGGAAATTTTAGGAAGTATAATACACACTCCAAATATCGAAATACAGGCCATCGTGTTGGTATTCAATATTTCGAAATTAATTTTAGTGGAATTGAATCCCAACACGATGGCGTGTATTTCAATACATAGAGTATGTATT